TGTAAATTTATGTGTTCCAGTGCCTCTTGTTTATGTCTAAATATGGTCGATGGAATATTTCTTTATTTTATACGAAGCTCATTGTTTATTATATCAATGTAAGTAAGATAGATAGCAAGTTTTAGTTTCGGGAAACTTTTCCACTGGATTTCGTCTTTAAAATACATCAAAATATTCATCAAGAGAAAAAACATAGAAAAAAATGAATTTTTTATTTTAAGAATAATATTTTAAGAAAGAAAAAAAAATTGTGATGAGATATATTTACATATGTTTTCATACCATATGCCTGTTACTGTTAGTTGATTTATTTTCTCACTATATCATAGTGCGGCTATCCTGTCTACATCTTTACTGTTTTAAACAATTTTTTTTTTAAAATTTTTGTCTTAATTTATAAGTTTTTCTTCATGGAAGGTATAAGTAGAAATCTGTGAGATTATCAAGCCGTCTGCTTTGTTTGCCGTCTGCTATGTGTGCGCCGTCTGCTGCGTGTGCGCCATATTGTAATCAGCAGAAGGTAAAAAAAATCATTTTAGTGATAAGTTAGTTCAGTTGTTGTATGCTGATGGTAGCTTATCATACCTATTGTTTGGTAAACAGGAAAATATGTCTGACATCCCGTACCCCCTAAAATGCCAATGCTAATCAAATTATAAGGAAGGTAAAATGTTCACATTGTGAAGTTTATATATCTGAAGTGTGTTTCTCATTTGTATATTTTTCGCTGGATCGCTTAGAAAAATGGGTACCTTGTATTACACAAGAAATAAAAGAAATGAAGCTACATTTCCCACAGAGAAAATTCATTTTCTGTATGGTAGATGGGCTTTAAATTGATGATAGATATTGTATACATTAACAGATCCACAGATTCTGTCAATATATCTTCTGTTTCCAAATCTGTCAAAAAAAGTGGGGAAAAGAAACACACAAAAAAAAACAACAGAAAATATTTTATTTTAAAATCTTCCACATCATTATGTTATTCTGCTATCTGAAAAGTTACACTGTAAAACATTTGTAGAAATTCAATACAATCACATTAATATATCAAATCTTGAAGTATTTAAGATTGTTTCAATTATAGTGGGAATGGCAATGGAAAAAAAATACCGGCACTAGAAAATCAATGTTGTACTATGTTTTACTATGGGTTTGCATGTTATAGAAGAATTGTAAGCAGTGAAGCACAGTCTTGTATTACAATAGGTCTGATTTCCCAGTGGTGCCCGTGACACTGTTCACAGATTCATGGTTATTGCAGTAAAATATATAAAAATTACCGCAGATCAATTGTGCTCTATTGAAAATCACCATCTTGAGGACATTATAGTAAAGAAAACGGTAATATCAGCAGTTTTGATTAATTAAAGAAACCACCTTGAATAGATGCTGATATATATATGTGTGTATAATATCATAGAGTAATTGAGCATTGTTGTATAGAACATAAGGTTTATATGATATCAAGATATATGATATTTAATGATATAAAAGATATAAATAAATGATATATTTGATATAAAGATACATATGATATTTAATGATATAAAAGATATAAATAAATGATATATTAGATATAAAGATACATATGATATTGTGATATATAAAGATATATGATGTAATGATCTATATGATATAATGATATATCAATTGCAATTATAAAGATTATATATATGATATAATGATATAAAGATAAATTATATTTAAGATGTAATGATATAACAATTACAATATAAAGATTTAAAAAAAGACATAAAGATAAATGATATATAAGATATTATGATACAACAGATACGATATACAGATCTAATGATATATATGATATATATATAGTGATATAACAAATACGATATCAAGGTATAAAGATAAAATGATATAACAAATACAATATAAAGGTATAAAGATAAAATGATATAACAAATATGATATAAAGGTATAAAGATAAAATGATATAACAAATACAATATAAAGGTATAAAGATAAAATGATATAACAAATACGATATCAAGGTATAAAGATAAAATGATATAACAAATACGATATAAAGGTATAAAGATAAAATGATATAACAAATACGATATCAAGGTATAAAGATAAAATGATATAACAAATATGATATCAAGGTATAATAATCTATATTATATAAAGAATATTTAAAGATATAATGATATACATGTGTATGATGTAAAGTTATAAATGATATAATATAATATATGATATAAAGATTGTGATATATTAAATATAATTGTAATGACCATGATTTGTTTAGATAGTCAATAGAAATATATTTTATAAAAAAAACTAATTAAACAAAAATATATTTTTTATAATCAATCAGACAATACTTCCCATGATGAAAATTTCAGGAACTTTGTTTCAGCGTATCTTTACAATAAATGGCACTATTTAAGTTACTGTTTAAACATTTATTTTAAAATGTTGATATCTAAGATAGTGGTATAAGTTTTGTTTTGTAAGTTTGCCGCTATATACAATTAAATGACAGTGTCAATTTTTTAAAATGATACAGAAAAAAAAATCAAAACAAAGCAATATAAATTATCAAAATGAATTTTTTTTTTGTTGGGAATATTGCACATGAGTTTTAATTTCAGTGTAATTTAAATCCGGGAGAAGTCAATTCCAATTATTTTGGTTATAGCTACAAATACTCCGGGGGGAAATGAATGCACAACAAAATGTCATTACAAGAAAACTCAATGTCACCTCCAAGAAAATTTATCACTTAAAATTGCATTTTGTATAATCCCAGGTGCATATTTTGCATTGATTGCATAAAGGATGCTGTGATTACTATGTTCTGACAAAAACTGGGCTTGATGTTGGCAGGTAATCTTAAGTTTCTAGGATGCTCAGAGCTTTAAATGTTGATGATTTCTTTTATTTTGTTTTTTTTAGTAAATGTGGGTATCTGAGGCATTTGATAGGCACCCAGGAACCAGGTGGATGTCATATAGTATTCTGTTTTGTATTCCATTGAATTATGGGATTTGTTTTGTATTTAAATGAATTATGGGATTGTTTTGCATCACATTTTTTTTTTAAGATTCTGGTTGAATCATCTAGATCAATAATTTTTTTTGCCATTTGGAAGGAAAATTGTGATTTTAATTAGACTTTGTTGAGGAATAATCTGTCTCATGTCATCAGATAGAAAATGAATTTTGATATAACTTATTATAATTTATATTATATATAAAAAAAATAATGTCTCCATGAACTAGCACACTATGTCTCAGATTTCATTTTATTTTAATCAAGTTCCTTTATTGAGCTTTTACTATATTTCTAGTAATAAATGCAGAGTTTTCACCTTATCTCACTGTATAAAACAGGGATAAAGCTGAGCTTTATTGTTTCCTGAAGCAATTTTCACTTAACTGTCTATACTGCTGCATCAGGCACAGTCCCTATTAAATATAATTACAATATACAGAGACGCAAAGATCAATGACAGTATTAAAATAGATCACAAAATGGTTGTTCTACACCAAATGATTCCAAAATGGTTGTTCTACACCAAATGATCCCAAAATGGTTGTTCTACACCAAATGATCCCAAAATGGTCGTTCTACACCAAATGATTGGCGTCCGCGCCGAAGCGCGGCGCCCTTATGGAATGAAATCAGATTTTGTGAATGGGTGACAGCAACTTCTCGAGCATTTTAGTCGGTCATAATAAAAGCCGATCATTCCGATCGGTATGAGGGTGCTTGATTTAAAAAAAATGTCTCGATATGTACAAGGAGAATTTCGCAATACATGAAATAACCTTTTCCGTCTCTTCGTTTTTAGCTCGACTTTTCTATGAAAAGGGGAGCTATCCTACTCGCCCCGGCGTCGGCGTTGGCGTCGGCGTCACACCTTGGTTAAGTTTTTCGTACCACCCCACTTTATTTCAGAAGTATTACAAGTATGGCTTTGAAACTTACCATACTTGTTCACCATCATAACCTCCATCTACAGACAAGAGTACATAACTCTGTCAAGGTTTTTGACAGAATTATGGCCCTTTTTTGACTTAGAAAGTGTATTGAGCTTGGTTAAGTTTTTTGTACCACCTCACTTTATTTCAAAACCATTGGAGGTATTGCTTTGAAACTGACCATACTTGTTTACCATCCCGACCTTCATCAACAGACAAGAGGACATAACTCTGTCAAGGTTTTTGACAGAATTATGCCCCTTTTTGACTTAGAAAATACATTGAATATGGGTAAAATCCACTTATTGCCTTAACCCTTTGAGATATTGCTTTGAAACTTTTAATGCTATTTCACATCATTACCCCCATCTGTACGCAAGAGAAGGTAACTCTGTCAAGGATTTGTTTTAAAAATTAAGGCCTTTTATCGACTTAGAATCTTGGTTAAGTTTTTAGTACCAGTCCACTTTTTGACTGAACTGTTTGAGATATTAATTTGAAAGTTGGAATACTTGTTTACAATCATGATTCCCAAACATGTCCAGGAGAAGGTAATTCTGTCAAAGATTTTATTTGAATTATGGCCCTTAACTGTCAATGTTTTGTATTATAGGCAAGCACTAAAAAACTTAAAAAATCTAAAAAAATTCATTCCTATCCACTTGTTCACTTTACCATAAATTATGTCATAATAAAATAATTCTTCACTAAATATCTTAATGCTCATGGCCATTGTTCACTTTAAAAATACAGAGATTCTTGTATTGCCTTTTACTGCAAAAACTTTTTTTATTGGCAAGCAATAAAAAAGTCGAGCGCGCTGTCTTACGGACAGCTCTTGTTTTTTTATTTATCATTTTGTAATATAGTTGTAACGCAAGTTTCAATGCTTTATAGGCATATCTTCAGCCTTAAGATCTTTTCAATTTTATATTCAATTTCAATTATATAATGCACGGAAATAAGATGGTTTTTTTTTTTAGAATTACAGCGAATAAAAAAATACTGACTATTAATTTTATCTCTATTATGTTTTTCTGTTTTCAGCGGGGTATGTCAACCTCGATGCTAGTATGCCAAATGTGACCCGGTACACGGCTGAAAACTTACGTCTGCGATGTGAAATTACCGGTTACCCAATCCCGAAATACCAGTGGTTTAAGAATGGCAAGATTCTCCGCAATGGTGATAGTCGGGGCAAAGTCAGCATCAAAATTACACCATGGGGCTCTAGGTATGACAAACTTTTATCATGTTAAATAATTGTTCATAATCTTTGTCATTATTTGATGCTCTTTTGTCCTTGTCTAGTGCTCTTTTGTTCAGAAAGCTTGTCCTAAAAGTTTTGTTCAGAAAGCCTGTATTAAAGTTTTGAAAGCTTTGTCTTGAAAACTTAATTTTTGATGTAGCTTGCCTTTCATATGTTTGAGTTAAATCTTTTGAATAATCAATGAAAAACTTTTCTTTTAAGTTTTTAGACATTATTATCATCATAAAATTCTACCATTGTTTTTCACACAGACTTCGCATTAAGAATCTTGACACAAGTGACAGTGGCATGTATGGCTGTAAAGGTCAGAATAATTTCGATGCCAAGAATACCACAGGGTATGTCCATGTGAATCCGGAAAAAGCTCCCACGTCAGATTCTGATTACACAACTGATGATATAAAGTTGTTTCCGGATGGGTTGCCGGGTGATATAGATTATGATTCCGGTTCGGTGATCAAGAATGATGATAGCAGGTAATCATTGATTAAAAAAATTTACATTTGATAATATTTGAGCAGCGCCATGACAAAACCAACATAATGGGTTTGCGACCAGCATGGATCCAGATCAGCCTGAGCATCCGCGCAGTCTGATCAGGATCCATGCTGTTCACTATCAGTTTCTCTACTTGGAATAGGGTTGGTAAGCGAACAGCATGCTGGTCGCAAACGCTCTATGTTGGTTTTGTCATTTGTATTAAACACAAATGATGAACAGACATACACACTTTTTTACATGTTCACGATCGATAGCTAATCTGGGATGATTGTTAAAAATAAAGACAATCAAAAGTGCAGATATGTTAGTCCGTATAAACAAATTAATTGATCTTTTTAAGTTTTTCTTTTGGGCATGTAGGCACAGGTATAGGAGACATTGACCGTGTATGAATCTTGAACTCACTCACATAACATTCAACTTCCTGTTTGGGATTTGAACCAACAGTTACATCAGACAAGGGACATATGATTTTATGCCAGAAGTTGCCATGTTTCTGTTCATACAGGCTTCTATGCCTTTTTAAATGATGAATTCAAATATTTTCATCACGAGTCTTATAGTCGTACTTTTACTTTAGAAGAAAATCAATCAAAATCTGATTGCTGGGCACTTAATGTTGTTTGCATTCTACATTCATAAAATTGCATTACAATGTAGGCATTAAAAAGATATGTATAGTTGAACTGTTAACTCACATATTGTAAACGTTTACTGAATTGTTTAAAACAAGCGAGTAAAAAGCTTTTTATTTGAATAAATAATTATGACACTTTAATAACTGCTCGTCATGATGTACGTACAATTACCAGACTTTGCGAGCAATTTACCAGACTTGCGAGCAGCAATTTACGTACTTAGTGTAAAAGCGGACAGATAAATTACCTAATTAATCGCGCACCTAAAATATCTCCAGTAATGGAGAACTTGCATGCGTAATTCTTATATAGAAAGAGAAAATAATGTTTGATAAGAAACAAGGTTTTTGAAGCTGTACATTATCTACATACTTAATAATAAATTATTCTGATAAACCTCGACTGATTTGTGAATAAGAAAGTCTTAAAATCTTGAGTCCCATTAATTATTGTGTAACTATGTAAATATACCAAACAAGAAGCTTTGAGATTAGTCAATGTTGAAATGTTAGTATTTTGTTATTTGTGTAAAGAGCAAAGTTTTATTTGAATCAGTTGTAGATATACTGTATTGCTATAGATCCACTATGAATGCCCCCATGTCACCATACTTTTCACGGTTATATAAAAAATATTGTTAATATTATATTAATAGAGTTTATCATACTTCATAAAGTGTTTGTCCATTAATTAAGAAATTTCAGAACGACCTGGTCATATAAAATTTTGCTCAGTATGGTAGCACAAATAAATGACTTGTAACTTACCATTTTGACAAGTCCCTGTCTCTGTGAAACCGTTTTTTTTCTAAATAAAACATTTGTATTTAAATACTTATTTGTGCTGTTTTGTTTAAAGTGATTTGTTTCTATTTACAGTTTCAATGGAAGATATGACCCAGGACAAAAGTAAGCCATTTAGTTATCTTCAGGTTTAATATTTATAAGGGACATTACTCTTGAGCTTAGTATAGTATTTGTACTATACAAGTTACTTCCCTTGAATTATATTTTGTTAATCCCTATTATGTTAATATGTTTGTATATTTAATTTGCTCATGCTTTTGTTAATTAATATACAAACCAAGTCTTTTTTACTTTAGTAGCCGTTATTCAAAGATATAACTGATGTAATTTAACAGAGTTAAATCAGTGTTATATATATTATTACAAAGATTGTTTTATATTATAATTAGGGATGTCACAGTTAGCATTTTTGCTAACCATTTAAACAGCATCTGAATAACTGTGTTAAACTTTTAACCAACCATACTAAAAGAATTCTTTGATTTTTACAATATTAACTATTTTGTATTGATATAAAATAGCAGATATTATGTGTATTTTGTTGTACTCTGACAACAACGATTACAAAACATATTCTATTATGGAGTAACTTTTGTCTGTTAGGACTGTACCATACAAGATAAGATAGTAGCATTTGGAAAAAATATAGATTGAAAAAAAAAGTCATATCTTGACATAAAGAAACAAATGTAACATTTAAAATCAATTTCAAATTCCTATGATTTTCATCTAACATTGATTACCAGCTATTGAAATTTCTAACCGATATAAGGCTAAAAACCGACCAAACCCATTTAAACGGATGAAGGTGACACCCCTAATTATAATTATTGTTTTATATTATAATGATTGTGTTTTATTTTTGTTCAGAATTGAGACAGACGAGACGTCACAAGAAGAACCTAAACAAGATCCATTTTGTCAACTGTTTAAAGGCAGCGTTTGTTCTACACATATTGGGAATAAGTCTATCTATGTCACCTCTAGATATGCTCAAGGTCTTAGAGAGGAAAAAGTTATATGTAAGAATAAGTTATTTATTTTTGGTCTTCAAATTTCTTTGGTTCTAAACTTGTTGATAAAGGTTGGTCCTATATTTGTTGTTTATTTTTTAGCTTGACTATTCGCAGAATAATCGAGCTAATGCAGCGAAGTTTACTGACTTATGGGGAAACTGTCTGCCATTTGTGCGGAATAAATTGTAAAACACTTGAGTAAATAAATGTTTGTATGTGAAAACAGAATAATAATGTTATTTTATTTATATTTCAGCTGCGATTAATGTGATCGGAAACTCCAACGATTTATCAGACAGATGTAGAAAGTACGCCATCCCGTCAATCTGTCATTTCTCATTTCCACAGTGTGAAAAACCCAACGGTCTTGGAGCACCGGTGAAAAAACGCATGATCTGCAAGGATGAATGTGAGATGCTGGAAGAAAGCCTGTGTAAAAATGAATACATTGTTGCGAAGAACCATCCTCTTATAGGTGATTGAAAATTTGTTGTATATATATTTCCTTTACAAAATAGGTCATCTGATTTCGAATGCTAATGAATCTGTAAATATGGACTAATTTCAGGTGCTATTGTAAAAAATGCAAAACTGCTTTCACCTTCTTGAAACATGTTATGTAATATATTATTATATATATATATATATATTTAGTACATATTTGTCATTATGAGAGAACTTTTTCACTATGATGTCATTACATGACAACGTTGTACCAATATGGGGTCTTGCGTACATGTTGATTGGGGTCTGTTATCCTTAATTGTATAATTTCATTGAATGTTTCAATTATAGTGTACCTTTTAACAAAGATTATGAAGAAATACAATGCTCAGTGATTTATTTTGTTTGTGGTATACTTGATATTTTGTCATACATTACTTTTGATATTCAACTTTTTTTTCATTAATTAAATACAAGAAAAAGTTGCTGGACTCAAGTTTTAATCATTCAAAATAGTAAAACATGGATTTTGTGTATGGTATTTTCAGACAACAGTGTACTTCCTAAGTGTGATGAGCTACCAGACTATGGGACTCCATGTCTACGTGTGGGCGTCCCACTTAAAGGCTACGATGGTATGTATGGGTTTTTTTTTCATTGATTTATTATTTAAATAACCTCTTAAGCAACTTAACAGGTATGCACTTTACAAAGTATCCCAGTTTTAATTTAAAAAGTATTTTATTTGTGGTATAAATTCCTAGAGTGGCAATCTTTAGACACAAAATGTCACTTGAGTTTTCAAATTTATAATAAATATTTCGATGTAACCATTGATTAAAAAGGCTTATTTAGGGGCAGATTTAATTGTATATATCCAAATAATTATCTGATTGATTCAAGTCAAATATAATTATTATTGTTGAATTTACAGACAAGTGTTTCAAGGGTAACGGGGCAACGTTTAGGGGTCAAGCTTCGAAGACAAAGAGCGGAAAGGAATGTAAGAACTGGAACCATAATCCCGAGTACCCGATTGACCAGCCAAGATTCAGCGACATTTTAGGTATGTAAATAACTGTAATAATGTTTGAAACTTTGAAAAAGTGCTAAGATAATAATTTTGTAGTCTCTATGTATTATAATACATGTATATATATTTTTTTTAATTGTTAAAATGTTGTTTTTTGTTTAGTTTTGTTAAATTGTTAAAAAGTTATGTCAAACAGAATTACTATTGTATTGTAAAAATAATTCTAATAACAACTTTATTTTAAGAGGGTGACATATTAGGAGTATATTATAAACATGCAACTTAGTTCCAATATAGCCATTTCTATCTTAAAAATATATACATGTATAAACAAAATATTAATGCAGCCTTATTTGTTTTAATTTCTTCCGCAGGAGATCATAACCAATGTCGTAATCCAAACGGAACAATGGCCGGACCCTGGTGCTATACGGATAGTAGCTTTAAGTACAAGGAATTGTGTGATGTCCCAGTTTGTGGTATGTTTTCAAATCCGATTTTAAAGATTTCGTTTACATTAAAAATATGCTGTCAACTGATTGTATTTCTGATAAGGGATAATTAGTTTTAACAAGAATTTATACAATGTACATTTGTATTATACTTAAAACATTGCTTATAAAAAAAAATAATTGTGTTTGCTGCCTTTCAGTTTAATGAAAAAAATGCAGGAATTATTGAGTTATTTAAATCCACTGTTGAACCATACTAACATTTTTTTATGAAAAATAGTGTATATTAAAATATACAACATCATGCACAATATTTTTTGTATACATGTATTTATAATAACCTATTATTGAAAAAAATTTGACTTAAATCTTTCCTTTTCAGCAACGACAACGGAATCCAGCAATCTGGTTGTAATTATTGTACCAGGCATTATTGTACCACTGGCATTAGCTCTCCTCCTTGCTTTAGTCTGTTTCTGTCAGAGATCAAGGAAAAACAACTCTGCAAACACCAAGGCTGTTATCAGTAACAAGGCTCAAAATATGGAGTTGTGTCCCTTGACAGCAAAATCGGCATCTCAACGAGTTCGTGAATTTCCCATATCATCTGTACGGTTCTTGCAAGAGTTAGGGGAAGGTGCGTTTGGTAAAGTGTATAAAGGTGAAGTTCTAGGCTTGTTTGGTGAAAATACTGTTTCAAAAGTGGCAATTAAGACGTTAAAAGAGAATGCCGCACCGAAAGTTCAGAATGACTTTAGACGAGAAGTGGACATGATGTCCGAAATGAGACATCCGAATATTGTTTGTCTGTTAGGTGTGGTGATGAAACAGGAACCAATGTGTATGTTGTTTGAGTTCATGTCTATGGGTGACTTGCACGAGTATTTGATTCAGCATTCACCACACTCTGACATGTCCGTTGTGTCAGATGAGGACGGATCGCAGCGACCGATTCTTGATTATGGTGATATGTTACATATTAGCACTCAGATTGCATCTGGGATGGAATATCTTGCTAGTCACCACTTTGTTCATCGGGATCTTGCTGCACGAAATATTCTTGTTGGAGATAATCTCACAGTCAAAATCTCAGATTTCGGTCTGTCACGTGATGTTTACTCATCAGATTACTACAGAGTTCAGAGCAAATCTCTTCTCCCAGTCAGATGGATGCCTGCAGAGTCCATAATGTATGGAAAGTTCACTACAGAAAGCGATGTCTGGTCTTTCGGTGTGGTGTTGTGGGAAATATTTAGCTACGGCTTGCAGCCTTATTATGGCTTTTCTAATCAAGAAGTCATTGAAATGATAAGGTCACGTCAAATTTTACCCAGTCCTGAGGACTGCCCAGCTAGAATGTATGGACTTATGGTTGAGTGTTGGCATGAAATGCCAACCCGTCGACCAAATTTCCGCGAAGTACATGCTCGACTTCGTGCCTGGAAAAGTGAGCTCCTTCTTCAGAATCCACACTGGAGCTTATCACAAAGTCATTCGGCTCATTCAAGCTCTCATCAGAGCTCACTTCAAAGTGGACCTAGTCATCAAGGGAGTACTGGCCCTAGCAACACAACAGCCATGACGGGGCTAACGGGGAGTAGTAATAACTCCGACCCCTCCCAGTTTAATCAGATGCCCCCTGCACCTCCCCCAGTCATAACCATGCCACCCAACAATCCGGGATATGGCAACAATCCTGGATATGGCCAGAATCAGCCTGGTCAACCGGTTACTGTGACATTTCAAGGTATGCCAACACAGAAACAAATCTATAGTGCTTTAAACACAATTCAACAACAGAATACTAAAAACACTCAAATGCAGCCAGCATCAAATGGACCCACAAAAATCTCACCACCGGAATCAGTTGCTAGTGGTTCTAGCTCTGGCTCATCTACAAATAAAGGAAAACTTGCAAATTCTGTTGGTACTGCATCTAATTCTACCATGTCTCCCCCACCATACTCGGAGTGCAACCGCTTTAACAACTTTCTTAATCAGAATGGCTACATTCCTGAAACAAGAACTGCAGAAATTTAAGAAAGTAGTATTAGTGTAAATCATAGTGTTATAATCTGCTAGTGGAGTTTTCAGCTTTACTAATTGTGTATACAAACAAAAAAAACTGAAGCATGGTAGACAAGCTTTTTGAACATTGAGATTTTGTAAAGTATGTGCTCTATGAAATAGTGCATTCAACTTTACCTTGATGTGTCTATACTGTGATGAGAGTAGATGGTCTCTAGTGTAGGAGACCAGCAGTCAAAGCGGACAGTTTGTGTTCATCGTATGACGATGTAGCTTTATCAAGACTGGTTCTCTGCTGTACATTATGTACACAACTATTTCAGATAGACTGTGCTTATTATTTTAAGAAGTATAGCGACTTCTGTGTATAGACAGATGATAATTCAATGAATTGGATTTATGGCTTACTGTAACTGTTAATATATAAAACAGTTTTTGGCTAGACATGAGATTTTGAAAAATATTTTTGGAAACAATTTGATAATGAAGTATTTACATATTGGTTGAATTTTTTTCGTTAATGGAATCATCCAATAGAGATGTCTTTTTTTTCTCAGACTGTTTCATGTTTTGGTAACAGATTTTTTATCCTGATGATTATAAGGTTCATTTGGTAACAAAAGGTCAGATTTTAATTCTGTCGACTTTCTTTCTTTAATTCTGTAAAAGATTCATATGCACATGACTGTAACATCTGAACTAGAATAAGTACATTTCATGCCTATTTACTGTTAATATTTATGATAAGTAAACATGATAATTTTCTTCTTACTTTAAAGAAGTGTTAAAAAAGTTTAATTCATTTTGATTAAGCCTTTTAATATAAGTGACCATGATGACTTGCCATCACTATAGAGCTATATCAGCCTGTACATCTGGTTGATATCAAAACTATTTACATTTTGAAATTGAAAACTGAGCAAGTCTACTTTACAAATTTATTGGTGAAAATGTTAAAGTTTATTACATTCTCAATACAGTTGTTTAATGTCTGCTTATGCTCTTTTTTTGTTTCTTTTGTGATTTTTTTATGTTTAACGTTTTTTATCCATATTAAAGAGATTAAACACAAAGAAATGTTTGTAAAATGTACATTATTAGACTATTTCTGTATTTTGTTATTTCATAACACCTTACTTTTATATTTGTTAAGTCTTTGGTTTGATTAAAATGGCAGATAATAACTTTATAAAATTATGTTAAAAAAACTTTATTTAGTATGTAGATTAATATGATAAATGGCCTGGTTAAAGTAGCATTATTTTATTGTTTGGATGTTAAATAGATAGACAAGTCTTACTGCATTATCTGATTGGTTGCTATTATACTCTGTAAGCACTGAATTATCAGATTGGTTGTTATTATTAGCACTAAATTGTCTTGATTGGTCTAAAGTAACACCAATGAGCTAATTATAGCAACCAGTCTTTCTGATTTATCTGATTGGTTGCTATTATTAGCAATAAATTATCTGATTGGTTGCTATTATTAGCTCATTGGTGTAACTGTAGACCAGTCTTACTGAATTATCTGATTGGTTGCTATTATTAGCACTGAATTATCTGATTGGTTGCTATAATTAGCTCATTGAAGTAACTGTCCAATGGCAGTGTTTTGTTTGATGCCATAGCAACATTTTCTACCAATAATTCGCTTTTTAATTTGAGAGTGAAGTCTTCTTTATAGATTTTTAAGGAAACATATTGAAACTATATTTTTTTAAAAAGATTATATTGTTAATAAATATTTTTTTTTAATTCTAACCGTTTTTGTTTTGATTCGTTTTTAAATCATAGATGTTTTTAATGTCCTATTTGGTGCAGCTTTCTCAAAAAGTGTATTGAAAAAAAACCAAGTTAATTTCATTTTTATAGAATAGACTATTTAAATACTGATTACTCAAGAATTATTAATTTACTTGAAACACATCACTCATTTGATTATTATTCCAATAAATTATTCAGCAAATGACCTCAACTTTTCTAGTATAAATATTCTAGAACTGAATTATCAAATCAAAGAAACATTTAATTATTTCTACAGTATTATTTTTCATTTATCAAAAAAGTGCATATTTCACTCATAATTTAGTATTTTCTCATTATTGATTATACAGTACCACATATATAATTTAAATGTAAAAGGATTTTATTACGGCCAATGAAAGTTTATGTTATATTTACATTTAACTAAAAGGTTTTAATTGGTCTAAGCAGATACCATGGTTCTGGTTTAGCCAATGAAATTTCGTGTTATAACCTGTCTGGAAGGTTGTGTAGTTAAGTATGTTTTTAAGCTTATTGTTCGAGCAACAACTATTAAGTTGCTCTATTTGATTTTTTTTCTATTATTGACTTTAAACCAAAGTTTGAACTGGTGCAATAGAACTTAAATATGTACAGTTTTATGTTAGAAAATGTTAGTGATTTATTCATGTTTGTTTTTGTGTATTATAATTGACGTAAATGTGTAGCTCTATGCAGAAACGTAAGAAGGGTCTGCGACCTGTTTTATTATGTTGCATGGCTTTACTGGTTCCATACTCTCTGATTATTTTTTGAATATTTTAAACACATGAACTATATCTTAACATACCATTTCTTTTCTCTGTTATTATTTATTCATGGCGAGCATTTGTTTAAAGATGTTCCTGGCTGTTGTCAACAATCACCTTAGTTGAAGAAAAATATGAATAAAGATGTTGAACATTGTTGCAAATTAATTGCACTAATATTTATTTCACTCAGTACAGTATTTTGTATGAAATCAAGTCAAAGTTTGTGTACTTAAGTAAAACTTAAAATTATTATTTTTTGATAAAGATACTTTTATGAGATATAATGTTGTCACAAATCGATCTTTGGGAACTTAGTTTTTGATGAAGACTCAATATTTGCTTACATATATATTGCTAATTTGAATTTCAGTTTTTGTACAACATCTATTCAACACATTTCGGTCATTTTATTAATTATACAAGAATTGATTACACAAAATTTTTTATCCACTTTGTATTGCTTATAAAAGCCATTTTCAGCCATATGTTTTTGCTTCTTGGCTCTTATTATATATATAGCTATTTTGTCAAAGTCATTTTCAGCCATATCATATTAGCTTAATATTGTGCCATATTGATTATTTCAAATTATATGAACATAATTCGTACCCGTTTTAATTTGAGGTGATCATTTACTTTAGTTAAGTCAAGTATATTATGTTTGAAATATAAAGAAGGAAATACGAGAACTATAAAATTATTCACGGAAATTTCAAAAGTCCTCTTTGAAATTACTGAAATGTATAGGGTAATTTATACAAAATGGCTGACTCGAAAAAAATGTTACTGAAAGTAAGTTTTTAATCATGTATTTTGCTTAAAACAACAACAAGATATTTTGTATTAAAGTTAGTGTTATCTTGGAATATTAAAGTATTGGTTTGTTGAGTTTTAAATAGAAATTTCAATTCCACCTGAATAATATTTTATATGTCATAGAATCATGTACTCTTTATAGAAATAAATGAAGTTAAAAATAATTAATGATTCATTGGAGAAGTTTAATGTTTTCTAGCTTTTCTTTAAAATTGCACATCACCGGAGATCTAGATGGAAATACCTGTTTTGTCTAATGAAGTTCACAATAATGATTTGGGACAGTTAAACTTATAATGACATGCCTTATTTAGTCACTGATGAAGCATAAGCACTTGTACTCTCTCGGCTGCCCATTGTAAAAGTGTTCATATTTCCACATACAATTCTTGTAAACAACAATGACCTGTTCCAATTTAAAGTACAACAAATTGATTACTTTTTTAAACAATTCAATGAGATGATAATAGGGTAATATAGGAATATACTTGCATTTTATCATACATGAATTAGAGGTATATATTCTACTGCAGCTACATTTCATTTAATTATTCATTATTTAAACATTTTGAAAGACGGTGCTATACTATAGAGCCATTTTTTACATAAAAGAAGATAACTATATAGAAATTAGGTATTTATACTACTCTATGTTATGTAATTTATATAAATACACAATTAAGTTATCAATGTATGTAAGAGCAAGTAGTCCGTGAAGACGCGGAACTATATTTATTTTTAAAAAAAGGACTCTGGCCATATTTGTCCTTCGTATAGGTATAGAAGAGACAATTGTGTAAAAGATGTGTTTATAGTTCTATAAAGTCCTCAAAAATAATCCTAAAAAGACGAAAATTATGAAAATGACCCAAAATGGAGACATTAAAATTGTTATAAGTGCTTTGACATATATATGTCACATCCATATATGTGTGTACTACTTTGTGTAGGCTCTTACATGCATACGATGATAGTATTGTGATCATGTGTATTTAAGAAAAATCAATATCGTAATTATGTATGTGTCTTGATTTGTCATGTAACGTTTTCGAACTTTGTATTATATACACACTATGTTGCATGTAAATAACTGCGTCAAGATAGACACATTTCACTTTTATTAAAATGTTTTTAACTTTATACTTCTTGTTCATCTTTTAATATTACCCACCACTCAATTATATATATAAATTGATGATTATTTGCCCACAATCAACTATATATCAGTCGTTAATCATATACCCCGCTTAGAAAGGTCGTTCAGATGGTTGGTAGCCGAAAATCGTGCCCTAATGCCGAAAAAAGGATTGCAGACTCTTGTTGTTTACCGACAAAGTAGTAATATAAATGTCAAGGTCATAGTATTGATGGAAGAATAATCAGGGTCCAAGACATTGCAGATTGCTAGTCAAACAAAAATGTCCGTTATTTTTGAAATCATCTCCAAACCCATCATTGTCTACAGATCCTTGAAAAATACATGTACATTGTATTTGATAAAACCATAGTTGTTCTTTATTGTACATTATAGTCCAATATGATAAATTTTCAATATTATATACGCATGCCGCATGACGTCGATTCGGACCAAATCTAAACTGTTGCTGTGGAGAGAGCCTGTTAGATACACAACAGCTAAAAATATAGATAACATAGAAAGGGAAGTGAAAAAGAACGAGTATACCTAGATAACTAAACTTTATACAAAATAATTGTCTTGAAACAACTTTAAATGAAATAAGCAAAGAAATTACTTGAGTATATGAAAGCGAAGGAAAAAAATAAAATTGGTAAGAAAAAAGGTAAATTTTGAAAAAAATCATAATCCATTGCTTGGTAAATTAATTAATAAGATAAAAACAATTAGAACTTAAGTCTTGGAAATGAAAATGTTGCAATGATGAAAGATCCATCAGCAGCGTCTGATGATACGTTAGTTGTCGAGGACATCGATAAAAGGGGATGTCAAACATCTGGGATAGACGTTTTCTAAGGATTTTATTAAGGCACAAACATAATGTCTATTGCCAAATTGACCTGAGACATTTAAATATTTAATGACCTTTTGTCGGATTCCGAAATATATCAAGTATGGTATAACGGTATTCTTGGTTTATGTATAACTTAAAGTTACCTGTACAACACTTGCCTAACTGGCCTCGACCTCGGTGATAAGGAGTTAAGACAATTGTTTCCTCGTCGTAGCCGATGCTTTATACATGAAAATAGTTAATTACAATACTATATACAGGTAATATTATATATAATTACAATACTATATATAGGTAATATTATATATAATTACAATACTATATATAGGTGATATTATATATAATTACAATACTATATACAGGTAATATTATATATAATTACAATACTATATACAGGTAATATTATATATAATTACAATACTATATATAGGTAATATTATATATAATTACAATACTATATACAGGTAATATTATATATAATTACAATACTATATACAGGTAATATTATATATAATTACAATACTATATGTATATAGGTAATCTGACAAAAACATTGCGATGGCGTTCCCTGTAGGTCTCACTTTTTGAGGTCTTTTGTTGTCCGTTTTCTTATCATCTGGTACTAAAATTCTTCATTCTGATAGACTCAGGGTAGAGGATGTACGTGTAGAAATGGTGAAAATGTCGCTGCAAGGAATATATAAAGTAGATCTACAGTTCTTTCCGCTTGATTGGGGTTTTCAGGTACTTCTAACAATCGGTAGAGCAAAATTTCCTCTTTGCCATCCAAAGTTGGTTTGAAAATTCATTTTACAATTATGGTATATTCTGATTAGTTTCCTCTTCTATTTTCTTTTTGAACAAATCGAGATATTCTCTTTGATAAACCTAGTGATGATTCATTTGAAAAAATGCAGCATTTATCTATAAGAGTAGCACACATTCTATGAGAACATACAAAATACTAGTATCCCACACAAGTCACAAATGTTTGTAAAACTAAAGGGAAGGTATTATGTCAATGTTTGTTTATTTTTATTGAGTAATCTCCCTTGGTTCGCTCCAATAGCTTCGCTGCTTTGTCATTTCTGTTAACAGCTCTCTCCTGGATAATGATGGCATTTACAAAGAGGAATTTTCCATTCATAACAAGAGAGCAGTTGGCCCCAACGCGGCCACCTGAAGACTAGATACATCAAGATACATCCACATAGACAGAATGAAGTCCTTATGTGTATCGAGGGTTGATCGCAAAACTCACCTTGTGACATTTGAGCCCAACTCAGAACACAGCATGCGTGACTGCATACAGCTCAGAGTTTAATTCACATTGCTCTGTAACCGTGAGGAATGCGAGGACGAATTTCAATAAAGCACGTTTCAGAACTTGTCACTAATTTGAGGAGATAGTGTGTAAGCGGACGGATAGCTCAGTCGGTATAGCTGCAGTACGGTTATTCCGAGGGTCCTGGTCAGAAAGCTATGTCTTGGAGTAAAGCTCATTTATTTATTTATTTGTTGTCAAAATTCGTTCTTACTAGTAAGATGATTCAAACTATTAAAGTTATCAACTAGAAACTTTTGTATTGGGCACTACCCTGAAAGCACTACTTTTAGACGTTATGCCGGTTATGTTTGTTTGTTTGTTTGTTTTGGGTTTTACGTCTCATCGACACAGTATAGGTCATATCGCGACGTTCCAGCTTTACTGGTGGAGGAAGACCTCAGGTGCCCTTTCGTGCATTATTTCAGGCACGAACGGGTACCTGAGTAGAACCACCGACGTTCCGTAAGCTAGCTGGATAGCTTCCTCCCATTAAAGAATCCAAAGTCCCTGTCGGGATTCGAACCCACAGCGGTGAGGGGCAAGTGGTTTGAAGTCAACGACCTTAACCACTCGGCCACGGACGCCCCATGCCGGTTATGCCATATATGTTTCTTTGGTCTAAGTATAAATCAAATATGTATATAAATAACAAAGTTATGACAATTTCAGCAAATTTCAATAATCAGACCTTGCCGATCAAGATTATTTAAACGTCAGATCATATTAGAATATTTCAACTGTCGGTTTTGTCCAATGTTATTACAATTTAAGCAAGTTTCATTTATTCAACAAAACATGTAAGTTCAAAATGTGGCTTTTGTCATATGTGTTCTTTTGTCGAGATAAAAATCAAATTTGTAATAAATGAAGCTGTGGCAATCTAAGCAAATTCAAATAATTGATTTTGACGGTAAAGACCTTAAAGATCAAAGTAAATTAAAAGGCAAAATTATAATCGAATTTTTCAACATCTGCATTTTGTCATAAATCAAATCCACAAGTTATGAATATAGAAGTATAATTCAATAAATTACATGTCAGTTTTTTTATGTAAGTATTCCTTTGTCCAAGTATAAATCAAGTATGCCCATTTAAAACTGTTGTACGGTAAGGGACACTAGCAAAAAAGCACTACTTTTAGAAGTTATGCCGGTTATGTCATATGTGTTCTTTGGTCGTTCTTTGGTCTAAGTATAAATCAAATATGTACATAAATAACAAAGTTATGACAGTTTCAGCAAATTTCAATAATTTGACCTTGACGGTCAAGGTCATTTAAACGTCAAGATCATATTAGACGGATTTGTCCAACGTTATGACAATTAAAGAAAGTTTCATTTATTTAACATTGACAGACAATGTCATATTAGAATAATTCAAATTTTGGCTTTGTAATCTCTATGCAAACTTTATTTTGATAGCTTTATTTAAAAGAAAGAAGTCTGGCAAGACACCAGTAAAATATAGAAATATGTTTAACTGCAGTGAAAAATATAATACAGTGCAAATAAAGGGAAAATAAAATACGAACTTTATTTCATCAAAATTTCTCAATATTTCATTTACAAATGTATATGTATACAATAAATAATGTTTTATCTCTACAGTAATACAAACGTGAAGAAACGATTTGTTAGGTTAGGCATAAAGACTTAAAAAAAATTCTGTCCAAAACCATTTTTCCACTGGAGCAGCCTTCCCCATAATATTATTTTACTGCCCACATTTAGTCTGTTCAGTATGGCTGTTAGTATATTTCAGCATAACACATATGCTAGATAACTTTTACTTTTAATAACCCCCTATATCTGTCATTATTTAACTATAAAATATATAAACCATGAACCTGGTCACGCCGGTGTGATCATCAAGCGACACAGGAGTCCTACCCGAGAGACAGCATAGCAACAAATAAGTTGTGAAAAATATCAAGGTTTAAATTCAGGAATAAGAAGTAATTAAAGGTATGATTTTCTTGTAATTTATTTGTACATGAAAACAATATCAATACTTAGATACAGTATTGAAGAAAAACGTTTATTTTCTAGATATTGAGTTGGTACACAAATAGCTATATCACTGATTTCTAAATAAAAATCTTAAAACGATAAAGTTTGGTTTTTTATATTTAACTGTACAAAAATAACGATATAATAACACAGGTTACCGTAGACTTTAAACAGAACATTTACAAGAAACCTTATCTACATTCTAGAACCGGAAATGGAAGTTTCAGGGAAGCGAAAGACTGAACTTAAACAGGTATCACATGGGTCTGCGAACAATTTTCTATTGTTTTGTGTCCCGTGTGATAGAGATGGTGAAAGGGAACCAGCAAAAGGGTTTTGTTCAACTTGCAATGAACATCTTTGTGAAACCTGAATCATAAGAAACCAGCTCCTTGGCGTAACCATGTTCTTCTTGACGAAGACTCTATGCCAACAACACCTAGTGTTACAGTCTCCCATAATGACTTTGATTGTTGTGATGATCACGAAGTCGAAAAACTAAAATTTTACTGCATCGATCACGACATAGTTGTTTGCAGTATTTATGCAACACTAAACCACAGAATTTGTAAGGTTGAATACATACCTAAGCTCTCTACACATATTCTAGACAGTGAGGAACTGAATGAATTGTTTGCAGAAATGAAAGCACTTCAGAAGATTTGCAAAACGAGTATCAAGAGAGTAAAAGATGAGATGACAAACATTTTTCAAAATCACGATCAGATAAGAAAAGCAATTCACCAATTAAGAAAAGATATTAATACACGTCTGGATGAAATGGAGCAGTTTGTTGTGAAAGCGGCCGGTGAC